CCGCCCTACGCGTTCGGAGGAGCCGGGTAACTGGGAATCCCAGTGGGTTGGAGGAATTTTCAACCGGTCCTCTAGGCCTTCCTACCCAGGGCCGCCTTCCGCTGGCCATTGGCAGGAGAAAGGCTCACCCTTCACCGACTCCCGCGCTTCCCGCGCTGCACCGCGGGCGCCCAGTGCCCGCTGACGGTCCCGGCTCACACGAAGGGTCCACACCAGGGCGACCCGTGCTGGGCAGGTTGAACCGCACGTGGCCGGGACTTAATAATAAGGAATATTTGTTGAACTCTTACAGTGAGCCAGGCACTAGGGCACTTACTGCTCTCAACAACTCTTAAGACATTGTTGCTGTTTTCCCAGGTGAGAACGCTGAGGCTCAAGCAGGTGAAGGACAGAGGTAGTGAGCCCAGACAGCACTCTCGCACCTTGCAGGGGGAATGTGCACCCACGCGGGACTCTGCACAGACGTAGCACGGAGCCAGCACACCGTTTGCTCCTTCGAAGAACAGGGGGCCAGACAGGAAACTTGGAGCAGAGGGTTTTGTGGGATTCCCCAGAAATGTTGGCCTTTTAATGCCTCCCACAGCCAGGAATCCAAGCCTCCCTCACCCCAGCGCCTCCCTAGAGAAGTCGGAGGCCTTTGCAGGGGGCATGAGGAGCTGGCTTCCTTGACCTTCTGATTTTGCGAACTGGGCAAGAAAGGCAGGGGAAGGGGTGCCACCAGCAACAGCTTAGGTTTGTACAACTTGATTGTTGAGGTTCTGAATCCTAGCAGCAAGCCTTCTGAGTGGGTAAGTGATAATAACGACAACAGCAACAGCAACAACCCAGAGCTAGCTTTTACTGTAGCTCATTATGTGCTGGTCACTGTCTAAGCATTCTGCATGGCTTATCTCATTGAATCCTCATGACAAGTCTAAGGGCCTGGTACTATTATCTCATTTCACTGAAGAGCCAAACAGAAGCACCGAGAGGTTAGATAACCTGCCCAAGGTCAGCAGTTGAGCTGTGAACCCAGGCCTGACTCTTTTTTGGGAGTGGGGAGGCAGGTTTATTAAGGTGTAATTTACATGCAACAGAATTCACCCTTTGTAGTGTCCGGTTCTCTGAGTTTTGACTGACCAGTGCATAAAGTCCTGAAAGCGCCACCACAATCAAGATGTAGAACGTTTCCTCCCCCCCACTCCCGGCAATCCGACCTCCACCGCCTGCTCGGTGCCGTTGGCCGTCTTTTTATAGAAGACAAAATGGAGGTCGAGAGAGACTGCCAGGTGTTGCCCAAGGTCGCTCGGCTAGTACGCGTCAGATCCGGGATTAGAACCTCCGTCCTGTCTCTGCAGGTCCAGCTGCCTGCAGAATGCAGATTCCTGAGTCGACAGAGCCCAACTCGCACGACGTGGGGCGCACGGGGTGGGAGGACGCGCGAGGAACATCCCCTCCACCTCCTACCGCACGCGCCGGGACTTAGCCAAACACCCATCCTTCCAGGCGCGTCTAAGGAACAAAGAAGAACCCGGCACTGAGCCGGCCTGGCTGAACCCACGAGTAAAGAGGGGGCAGCCGCGGCATCTAAGTCCGCGGGGGCTTGAGGCGCTCCGGCGCCGAGTTCGACCCCAGCGCTCAGCGCCGCGGCGGCCTCCACCTGCCAGTCTGGTTAATGAATCACTCTCCTCGTTCACCTTCCCGGCTCCTCCGGGCCCGGGCGCATGGGGTAGCATAGATTACCCGGCTCCGGGGTTTGCGCTGCTCGGGACTCTCAGGAAGCTAGCTTCCCACCAGCTGGGGCCGAGCGCGGCTTGGGGTCGGCGGCGCAAGGGGCCAAGGGACTGGGTGCCCCGCTCCTGTCTGGAGGGTGGGCCAGGCCCCTGCTGCGCCCTCTCCCTCGCCCACTAGCTGGCCAACTAGAGGCGGGCGGCTTGCGGAAAACGCCGCGTGACGGGCGACGGGCTCTGAGCGGCCTGAGCCCTCGGCCCTGGCCAAATGTCCCCGCCTTGGGCAGGAGGCTGAGGGGTCCGGGCTCCAGCCTGCTGCTCACTCCTTTGGGACACTCTTCCCGAATCGGCGCTCTCAGGAAACAGGTCCTGGCCGAAAGAGGTAAAGGGTTAAGAGGTTACCTTCAGCCTCTTAGGGCTCGGGCACAAAGGTTTAAAGAAGAGGAAACGCCCCTTACACATCACACACCATTGCGGGCCTCACCCCACCCAGACACAGACTGGGCCCCCCCTTGCCCCCAGGTCATCGACTCTTGCACCCTCAGCCAAGATCACTAATGTCAACTGCGCAATAAACTGTTACTGCTCGCCAGCCTGCACGGGTTGGGCTATTAGCATCCCCAGTTTGGCCCTCCGAGGTGTGGAAGGCCCGCCCTGAGGGCCAGGCTGGACTTCCACCCACCAGCCCTCCCCAAATTCTCACAGGGAGAAGGGGACCGCTGGAGCTGGGATCCACAACCCACCTAAGTCGAGGCTTTCTTCCCTGCTTCGGACACCCTAGGGCTGACCCTGCGTTCCCTGTGGGCTCGCTGGCTGGGTGCAGCCCAAAGACCTCCACCCCTTGCAGTGGCCTCAGACACCCCACTGACCTGGGCACGATGGAGCTGCTGCCCAGAGAGCCTAATTCAGAGGTGGAGTTCCAAGTTGGAATCAGTGTTTTGGGGGCTGTTGGTTCGGACCCGAGGGAGGCCGTCTTCGAATGCACCCCCCCCATCCCATGGGGGTAGATCTAACGCCCAGAATCCTCAGGCCTGGGAAAAAGGTGGCGCGCAAAGCGAGGCCTCTCTGAGACGAAAGCCGCCACGACCCCCATAGCCTGTGTCACCGAGGTCCACAGCCTGAGGCAAGGGCAGGTCTCTTCAGTCGGCGAAGGTAAGGCTGAGGCCCCTCCTATCTCGTATGTGAGCGTACGTGTGTGTGCGAGCGTGTGTACACCCTGGGAGGGTGGAGGAGGTGGCAGCACGGATGATCCCCGCTGACCCCCTACCGATCTGTCCCTGAGAGGGGGACAATCCCAGAAAACAAAGTTCCCAACTCTTGCGTTTTCCGAAAGGAGTTTTTTTACCCCCCTCCCCCACTAACAGTATACCCATAGTAAAGAAGTCGAGAAACTGACAAACATAAATACACAGGAGCTAAAGCCACGGGAAGGCCGGGGGGACTGAGTGCAGGGCGAGGCGCAAGAACACGTCTTAATGTCTGGGACCTTGGGCTGATAATCTGGTGGCCTTGCAGCCACGCTCTCGGCCACTTCGCTCTTCTCTCTCCTCCCATTCGACTTCTCCCGGTTCTCACGGCAACCTAGTCACCAAACACAGGCATTTCTGCGTCCTTAAGAGAAATGACAGAGGCCTTGGAGTAATAGATTTAAAGGACGCCAGATTTTTTTTTTTTTATCATTAATTGTAAACGTGCAAAATACCTGCTGGTACTTCACTTTAGAAGAATGTAATTGGCAAAAAAAAAAAAAAGAAAAAAGAAAAGAGGCGGCTGATGAATAGATAATAGATCTTTAACCACCAATAAACAGAGAGCAGCGCCAGCAGCCTGGGGGATGTGATCATAATTATGCCGCCGCGCGAGCCAATGGGGACGAGGGAACTGGGCCCTAAAATCATCCCAAAACCGAAGGCGAGCTCAAAAATGCGGACAAGGGCTAGGACCGGAGACGCTATCCGCAGTCCCTAGTTTGAGCCTTGGGTTTGCACAGCAACCCGCCCCAGGGACTACAGATGGCAGAATAATAATAGAAATAATAATAATAACAAGAATAACAGCAGCAGCAATACTAATAACAATGACAACAACACTAACAAAAATAACGACAACAGAACGCTAACAGTAGCACCACAGCAGCAGCTCCCCTGACCTTGGGCCCTCGTCCCAGATATTCCAGAAGGAACAGTTTTGGGATAGAAGTGAGCACCCTCCCAGACAGGAAAAGTGAGAGCTTGGGGCGAGAACGGGCGAGAGTTGAGAGCCCACTGCCCAGGCGGGGTTGGCGACTCGCGTCTCAACTTGCAAACGAATGTGCAGGGTCAAGGATCGCAAACGCCACGACCCGATACCTCGCAGCTCAGCTAGGTTGGAGACATGGGAGGACCCGCACACCCCCACCCACCCGGGTCCCTCCTCGCCTGGGAAACCGCGGGGAGTTTTGCTGGAGAGGGGGGGCTGGCATAACCGAACAGCTCTCAGCCCTCTCCCCAGCCAGCCCCCGCGCGCTTACCCTTGCGGTGCTCCCGGGCAATACCAACTCTCCCGACGCGGGGCCGCGGGGGACAGCCGCGGCGGTGCGCCTGGCATGAGGAATCCGTGTGTGTGTGTCTGTCTGTCCTACCAGCTCGGCTGCAGCAGGCTCGGGATCCAGGGGGCCGCTGCGGAGGCGGCGCCGGTCGGGGACTCTGCGGGGACCTGGGTGCCCTGGAGGGAGTGGTGGTGGAGGAGGAGGAAGCAGTGGCTGAGCGGGAGGAGGTGGGGAAAGAGGAGGAGGAAGAAGAGGAGGAGGAGAAAGAGGAAGAGGAGGAGGAGGAAAAACCGGAGGAAGAGGAGGAGGCGGGGGAGGAGGAGACGGCGAGCGGGCACCTCAGAGCAGCGAGCTGATCGCGGGGCGAGCGCGCAGGGCGGCGGGCGGTGCAGCCCATGCGGGGCGCCGACTCCGTTCCACTCTCGGCGCTGATCCAGGCCTCCGGGTTCCCAGGCGCTCGCCGCTCTCTGACGCACTTTAAAGAGTCTCCCCCCTTCCACCTCAGGGCGAGTAATAGCGACCAATCGTCAAGCCATTTACCAGGCATCGGAGGAAGCTGTTTATGTGATCCTCGCACTAATTAGGCTCATGAACTAACAAATCGTTTGCACAACTTGTGAAGAAGCGAACACTTCCATGGATTGTCCTTGGACTTAGGGCGCCCTGCCCGCCTTTTGCAGAGGAGAGAAAACTTTTTTTTGCCTCTCCCGAGAAACTCCCCCCCCGCCCCCGCCTCTAACTCCGATCCCCCACGCCATCTCGCCAAAAAAAAAAAAAAAAAAAAAAAAAATTATCCCAATCCACGCCTGCAAATTCTTCTGGAAGGATTTCTCCCCCTCTCTTCAGGTTGGGCGCGTTTGGTGTAAGATTCTCGGGAACCTCGGCGTCGCCTCTCCCTCCCCTCCCCCCTCCTCTCTTTTTTCCTTTCCTTCCCTTTCTTTCTTCCATTCCTTCCCCCCCACCCCAAACAAACAAGCCCCCGATTTTCTTCGGTGCTTGCTGCAGGCAGCGGGCGGCGGAGGCAACGCGCCGCGGTCGCCGGGAGCCGGGAGCCTCGGGCGCCCGCTCCTCGGCGCAGCATGTTCCAGCCGGCACCCAAGCGCTGCTTCACCATCGAATCGCTGGTGGCCAAGGACAGTCCCCTGCCCGCCTCGCGCTCCGAGGACCCCATCCGCCCCGCGGCTCTCAGCTACGCCAACTCCAGCCCCATCAACCCGTTCCTCAACGGCTTCCACTCGGCCGCCGCCGCCGCCGCCGCTGCCGGCAGGGGCGTCTACTCCAACCCGGACTTGGTGTTCGCCGAGGCGGTGTCGCACCCGCCCAACCCCGCGGTGCCGGTGCACCCGGTGCCGCCACCGCACGCGCTGGCCGCCCACCCCCTGCCCTCCTCGCACTCGCCACACCCCCTCTTCGCCTCGCAGCAGCGGGACCCGTCCACCTTCTACCCCTGGCTCATCCACCGCTACCGGTATCTGGGCCACCGCTTCCAAGGTACGTGCCACGTCGCGGGACCGCAGAGCCGCAGCCTGCACCGGCCCGGCCTGCTCGAGTGGGCGCCCGGCAAGGCCCGGGCGGAGGCCGCCTAGTCTGGGAGGAGGCCGGGCGGCCAGGGACCGGGCGCGTTGTCGTCCCCAGTCCCCGAAGCTGCAGCCGGTTAGCGGGGCTGGCCTGCCGGCGCTTGGCCCTTTGGGGAGGGGCGCGGATGGGGGAGTTGTGCCCGAGTGCGCTCGGGCGGAGCAGGCGAGGTAGCCTGCTCTGCCTGCCCGCGGCCGAGGAGGTCGGAGTTTGCCGGGCTCCAAGGTTCGCTATCCCCTAGGCAATGGTGCGGGCGACCCTCGCTCGGAGGGGCGCCGACCGGGCCCAGCCGCCAGGTTCGCCTTCGACTGCGTTCGGCCCTGTTCGCCACCCACTCCGCGCTCCTTTTGCCCAGCCCAGCGGCTTCAGTCTCCAGTCCTCTTTGGGCGGCGAGAGGACCCTCAGGACTCCGGAGCAAAGTCTAGGGGGTTGTTTTTTTCCTGCTTTTGGAACAGGGTAGGGCCGCGCGGGTAGGCACCTCCGGGCTCGGAGCTCTCGCAGCGACCTGCCTAATTGGGGCGCCGAGCGGCCGCGGCGGGAAGGCAGGTTCGGTCTGGTTTTTGTTTTTCTTTCTTTTAAAAGAAATGAACCCAGTAGGGAGACAAGCTGGGCGGGGAGGACCTATCTGGGTGTTTTTGTTTCTTGCCTTTTTAAAAATTATTGCTTGTTTGTTTTCCTCCGGGTGAGGGTTGAAGACAGTTAAAACTCCAGAAAAAGCGGCGAGTAATTAGCTTAGAGATCCGAGCAGGGAAAAGACCCAGCCCGGGCGGATCAATACCCAGCCGCCTGTCCATTCGTTAACCCTTCCCTTCCCTGCCAAAGCCTAGAATCGGGTAGATGCCAACCCCATAATTAACAAAACAAAAGCAACAATATAAAATCTTTCCGCCTTATTTCTGGCCCAGATTGGCCTCTAATCTTGCCTGGACTGTGGTTTGTTTTTCTTTGTTTGGGGTTTTGGTGAACCGATTTCTTCCCCTAATAGTGAGCCCGAAACTCTCGGGCTTGGCTCGCTAAGTTTAGGTGTTTCTTTCCGCATTCCCTGCCAGCCACGCTCTTGGTCCCCCCACCAGGCCTGGGGCAGCAGGGACCTTGCGGTGCCCGCGGCCCTCCTGTAACCCCGGATTTCGATCGTCCCGCTAGCGTCTGTCTCCTCGTTCTCTGGAGCAGGGGAGCCGGGTGCCTGGAGGCAGCGGCGGCAGAAGCTGGGCGAACACGCCGGCAAGGACTCCGTCCAGGCCCGGCGGCAGCGACGCGCCCGGCTTCCACACTTCCCTGGACGGGAAACAAGACTTTGAATAGTTTTTCAATAAGTCTCCGAGTAAAGTCTGGAAAGCGGTCCGCCGCCTCCCCACCCCGGGGTCAAAGTTCCCCGAGAGGTTAGACAGAAGAGAAAGCCGTTTCTCTGGGTCGTGGGCGCCTATGCCCCGGCAGGGCCCTGTCGCCCCCTCCCTTGCCCCAGGCTCCGGGCTCGGAGGCCCGCGGCGCCAAGGCGGCTGCGGAACCCGCCGAGGTCAGGGGCCGTGGGATCCGCCCGTCTGCCTGGGCAGCAGCAGGGTGGGTGCTCACAGGTGGCCTCGCGGGCCTAGGCCAGCAGCTGCCCAGGGCGTCCCCTTCGTGCGACTCGGGAAGGCCGGGGCCCCGCGTGCCGGACGGCGCAGCTCACGCGGAGGCCCGGAACCCGGCGCCAGGCTAGCCCGGTTCGGGAGAAGCACGCAGCGGGAGCCGGGGCGCCCCCTCCAACAGGACTTCTGCTATACCCCCCCGCAGGGAACGACACCAGCCCCGAGAGCTTCCTTTTGCACAACGCGCTGGCCCGCAAGCCGAAGCGGATCCGAACTGCCTTCTCCCCGTCCCAGCTCCTGAGGCTGGAACACGCCTTCGAGAAGAACCACTACGTGGTGGGCGCCGAGAGGAAGCAGCTGGCGCACAGCCTCAGCCTCACGGAAACTCAGGTGAGCGCGGCCTGGCGCAACGACCCCATCCGGGCTGGGCCCCTGCCCCAGATCTCTGGACACCCACGGCTGGCAGCCGCTCGAGTGTGTAGCTCGCAGAGGGCCTTCCAGAAAGGGCCTGAGAGCTGGTTGTACGCCCGGCTCGGGGTTCGTGAGTTTCGAGGTGCCTGACTTCGTTGGACTACAGCAAGGGGCGTTAGAGCCAACTCTCCCCAGACTCCTGGGACAGCGAACTGTCCTCCCGCCCGGCTGGGCATCCCCTGAGTCTCTAAGACACTTCTGCACTCTTGGCGAGACTTTTGGTGAGAGTCGTGGGGGCCCGAGTGTCTCCCGACTGGGCCCAAGAAGAGGGAGAACGCAGCGGGGTGTCCGGCTGTTGGGGGCGCGAGGCGGGGGAGGGCAGGGAGCGTGTTAAGAGCCGCTGTGAGCGACTGCGGCCTCTCGGCTCCCATCGACGGCTCCAGTTAGTCACCTAAAGGGATCGGAGAGTCAAACAGGGGAGGCCAGGCGTCTTGGGCGCGCCCAAAACCAGATCAACAAGGCTGGGAGGCTGCGGAGAGGGACTGCCTCAGCCGACAGGCCCTTTCTGCGCAGCGGGGTCCTGAGGCGGGCCTGACTCGGGCCTGCCCCCGGGCGGGGAGGGGGCGCAGGGCTACAGTAGGCGCTACTGTACGCGGAGCCGCAGGGCGGGGTCAGAGTTCCCCGTAAACAGTAATGTGTTCGGGCCGATTAAGTTGTAACACTTTTTCTGGGAGGCGCAAAGAGGTCGAGGCTTTTGTTTTAAAACGTTCCCCCCGGACAAAACCGAGGAGGGGCTCGCGGGTGTGTGCGCGGCCAGCACAAGGCGCGGCCGGCTGAGTTTTCCGGGACAGCCCAGGCGGCGGTGGTCTTTGTCCGCCTCGCTGCCCACGCTGCCTTGAGCCTTTGTGTGCGTGTCAAGCCCCGAGCGCACCGACGCGCGCCTTGGGCGAGCGCCGGGGAGAAATGAACCGTCCTCCTCCTCAATTAGCAAACTCAAAGCAAATTAAACTCAGCCTTGTTCCCGCTCGGCTCTGCCGTGGGGCGACTGAGACGTGCCGGGAAGAGCGAGCCGGACCCGGGCCGGCCGTCTCAAAGGAGGGAGTGGAGCGGGCCTCCGGGGCCCGGAGGCTCGGGCTTGGCCTGGGCTGCTGCTGTCATGGGGGGGTGGGGGGCATGCGAGGATGGAGTCACCACTGTCGCCCCCATCCGTACCCCACTGGTGGGAAGCTTAGGCAGTGTTGCTGTTTGGTCGCTTGGATGGGGACCCACTGCCCTGCTTCCCCAGGGGGCGATCGGATCGCACGCAGCGACTGGGTCTCACTGTTTCCCTGACCTCCAGCGGCGGCTCTGGGGAGGCCAGGTCGCCGGGTAGCCCTGGTGGGACGTGATGTGACCTCGGTCCAGGCTTGGTCCAGGCCTGTCCTGAGGCTGGTTAGTAGGAGGAATAGGGAACGCTCCCTCTGGTTTCGCCTCGTCTCTTTCTCAGTCTTACTTTTCTCTCCCACGGTCTCCCAGAGCTTTCACTTTTGAGCCTCTTTCCCTGGCTGGAGAGGGAGAGCTGGGTAGGGCCCGAGATTTCTGCACCCCATCCTCCCCCCTCGCCTCCTAGAGCTCCCCACCTCGCCCTGCTCACCTGCGAGAGTCCCGGCAAGGAGCTTGCAGCTCAGGCAGAACTGCCCACCTGCCCAGGGCCGGGTCCTGCAGCGGAGGCGTTATATTTAGGCCACCACACGCGTAAAGCCGCCTATAATAGAAAGCTCTTTGGGACCTGCCCGAGTGGCAGCAGCTGGCGGAAGGAGGGCTTTTCTGCACCCGCTTGCAGGAGGAGTTAGGGACACGTTTCTTTTTATTTTCCCTTACTTATTATTTTTGCAGGGGTTTCCCACGCTTTCCAAGGCCTTTGCTCTCGGTGGGTTGTGGGTGCCGGGAGCAGGGGGAGGGTGGGAAGGGGGCGTTGTGTACTCTGGGCCGAGCGGGCTGGGGAAGGCAGCCCCAAGAGGGCTCAGAAGGGCAGGGAGCAGGAGCGGTGCTTCCTACCAGCCCCGCACGAGGCGCCTTGCTCCCCAGGGGAGCCTATGGGGAGGCCGGCCCTTAGACTATGCAGCTGGAGGCTGGGCCCTGCAGTCTCGGCTCTGGGTCTGGGCTGGGCGGAGGGGTCAGGTGGTTGGTACCAGGCGCAGTGGAGGACTAACGCGCCCCTGTCTGCTTCTCGCCGGCAGGTAAAAGTATGGTTTCAGAATCGAAGGACAAAGTTCAAAAGGCAGAAGCTAGAGGAAGAAGGCTCGGATTCGCAACAGAAGAAAAAAGGGACGCACCATATTAATCGGTGGAGAATCGCCACCAAGCAGGCGAGTCCCGAGGAAATAGACGTGACCTCAGACGATTAAAAACACAAACCGAACCCCACAGAAACGGACAAAAAGGAGCGAAACAGAGGCAGGGAGAGAAGGGGAAGAAGAAAAAACCTACAAAACAAGATCGAGCAAACCGCACACACACATTCACCGAGAAAGGGAGGGCACAGCAGCGGCCTTCGTCGCAGACTTTGGGCCGCCACGGCGCAGGGTCCCAATCCGATGCTGCGCCGCGAGGGGCAGGGGACGACGGAAGCTCCTTCATCAACATGCAACCCTCATCTAAAGAGGCAGCTGAGTGAGTGAGTGAGGGAGAGAGAGAGGGAGAGAGGGAGCAAGTGAGAGAGGTCCAAATGTGGCAAAGCCGATCGCGCTCGGAGCAAGGGAGCTGTCAGTCAAACGCAGGGGAGCTGTCAGTCAGACGCCAAACCAGCGAGACAGGACGGTTGGCAGGTATTCCGTTTATCGCAGTCCACTCAAAAAAGCCGTGAGGGCAGTGATGATCAAAACAAAACAAAAGCACCTGGGCACGGGACTTTAGATTTTGCACTTCGCCGTGTTGTTTTCCCCCCCGGTCTTTAAAAATAATCAATAATAACGATTGAAATTTCATATCCAGCCCCATCCCCACACCTGTTTCAAAAACTTGAATTGCATGTAGCAGTCGTTGGGCAAACGGTGTCTAAAGACAGAAAATGAATTGTAATTTTTTTTCCTTTTAAAGACAGGTTCTGTGTGCTTTTCATTTTGATTTTTTTTTCCAGAGATATGTGCAGTGTGTAAACACTTTTTGATACCTTCTGACGTCAAAGTGATTGTGAAAGCTAAGTGAGGTAGGCTCAGCGATAGTGATCCTCTTTCTTACTGAGAAACAGGGAGCAGGCAGGGGCTGGGGGGGTGGGGGAGGGGCCCACCGTGGAGTCAAGACTTGTGCTGGGGAAAAAAAAAAAAACCTCAATGATATTTCTTGGACATTCCCTTTCCTAACATCCTGAGGCTTAAAACCACGAAGTAAACTTCTCCCTTTAGTGGCTGGAGAAGTTGGCCGAGTTCAACCATTCACCGTAGAGGCCATTCCAAATGGAAAATCTATCTCTTGCAAAAACTGAGGGACTGTAGTTAGTGAGAATGATGTTAAGTGTGGCCAAGGACACAGTGACAAGTTTTCAAGCACTGAGTTTCTATTCCAAGAGCATAGACCTACTAAAGAGAGTGGCAAATGCTTCCTTAATGTCTCCTATACCAGAATGTAAATATTTTTGTGTTTTGTGTTAATTTGTTAGAATTCTAACACACTATATACTTCCAAGAAGTATGTCAATGTCAATATTTTGTCAATAAAGATTTATCAATATGCCCGCAGAGTAGTCGTCTTGGGAAATTGAAACGAATTTTTTTTTAAAGTATCTTTATACTTTTGAGTGGTCTTTCCTCAACTAGGCTCAAGAAACGCACGCACCCCTCCCCAACAAAAGGGAAGGACTGATGGATTCTTGGGCATTTTAAAGAGAGATGGAGGTGGAAAAGGGAGAGAAAAATTTAAATCCTTCAGAAGAGGGATGGGAGAAGAGTTTTACAACCAGACCTTTGACCACTGCATGCTCTACTGAGGGAATTTAGTTTGGATTTCAGGTTAAAAATGTTTACTTTTTCTCTTAACCTCTGGTTATGATGAGGATGATTTAATTTATGGAAGTATAGATATTTATTAAATGATATTCCCCCAGGATTGGGGAAAGCACTTAGCAGATTCAGCATCTTGGGACTTTTAAACTATATTTCTGACTTAAAACCCCAAGAAACAAGTGTCTTTCTTTCTTTCTTCCTTCCTTCCCTTCCTTGCCTTCTTTCCTCTCTGGCCCCAGTCTGCTGGAGGTGGTGAGGCGAGTGCTAGGGCCTCGGCAGCCTTATAAGGCAAGCATTCTGAGAAACCTTCAACTCTTAACATTAAAGAAAAAGTTGTAACCAGTCTTGGAGGAAACTTAGCTCCCCCCCCTTCCCCCTTGTGGGGGTACTAGGTTGTTTTTGCATGCTTCATTTGCTTCTTATCCTGATAGGCTGCATTAATCAGTTTTATTTCCATTGATAGAGAAACCTCGTCTGTTCTGTTCAAGCTACAAAGCGTCCTGTGAGCTTTTGTGAAAGTGCAAATCAGTTTAAGCAATTATCATACCAGGAATATGAAGGGGAAAGAGGAGGCCTTGCCCAGTGGTCTCCTTTAATCTCTTAATCCACAGATCCAGGGGGGCTGCCTGGACATAATTTAGGACAATCTCCCCACCCTTTACACTGTGATAAGGCCAAGTTACAATGCAGGGCAAAAATACAAGCTTTGTTAACATCCTGCCTTGAAAAGTTAAGATTAGGATTCCGTGCACGTGTGAGGACTATAGGGCACCATGGAAATCTTTCTTTCTTTCTTTTTCCCTTCCCTTCTCTCTTCTAAAGTAGAATTCATTCTCGTTTTTTTTCCCCCTCTTTCTCTCCCTCTTTTCTCGGTCTCTGCCTGTGTCTTCTTATTCCTCTGTCTCTGTTTCTCTGGAGAACCCTGGCTGCTCCTGGTGCGTTTTTTAGCAGAGCCCTCTCCCAAAGGTGTGTGTCTTTTGGGGGAGACTCGGCCCACAGAGGGATGCCGGGAGGAGACTGGTGGTCGGGAAGGCTGGGGCTTGCCCCAGGCGGGGACAGGTGGGACCAGGATTCGCATGGGACTCTGAACTGCTTCCTCAGTGGGACCCTTGCTGACCGCTTGCTGTCCTGAGCGCTTTGCAGTCACACCGCTGGTACCGCATTGCTTTCTCTTAAACAACTACAGGTTCCTTTTCCTTCATCCACTTCCCAAAACCAGGAATGCCTGAGCCCAGTCCCCTTAAAGCTCAGACAGGCCTTTCAAAAAAACCAAAACCCAAAACTTCCCATCTTGACAAAAGGCCTGTTTCTGCAGGAAACATATACTTGATTATTTTTTTAAGTATGATAAAAGGGAGAGATTTTTTGGGGTAAACGTCCTATGTAGTGCAACAGCAATAAAATCATCAGAGAATACTATTAGCTTTGGAAAAAAAAAAAAAAAAACAACTAAAAGCTTTATTACAAACCAAGCTTTGAAAATAGGGGGGATTAGGCGGCTGAAAGGGTCCCACAATGGTAAGAAGAAAAGGTTTCATGCTAATGAGGTTAATGCCCTTTGTATCTCAGGCCTCCACATCTTCATTACGCGCTATCTCCGGCTGCACCGAGCGGCTCAGAGAGCCGCAATCCACTCCAACGCCCCCCTTCCTGGCCCAAAGAAGGATTTGATAGCAGCTCTGTTCAAACTAGATAATTATATCTTTTCAAGTCGGAATTAAGATAAAGAAAGTGAAGCAGAGGCGGCTCGCCTTGATCCACTGCAAACAAATTTGGCGCACTTTCGAGTCCTTCCCCCGCCTCAAAAAGGCAGGACCGTCAGCTTATTAGCCGCTCGTTTGCTTTATTAATTCATCTATTTAAAGTGGCAGGATTAGAGCGTCTAATGTGGACGCGGGCTGCCGTGGCGCCGAGGAATATAAATATTTGCGAGATGCCATCCCACGATGACTATCTGGGCGCGGGGCGCGGGTCAGGGTGCGCGGGGCGCGTGTGCCTCGGGGCTGAGTCCCCTTGGCTGTGTGCTCGCGCTGGGGCTGGAGCCCTCTGGGCAGGGAGTACACAGGAGTGTATGGGAACCGTGTGCTCCAGGTCTGTGTTCCTCTCGTGTGACATGGGTGCCAGGTCTGAATGCCCCTGAGCAGGGGTCTGTGTGCCTCATGGGCCAGCTTCTGCGGTCCTTCCGGCACATGGCGCTCTGCATGCGCTCTGTCCTGCCAGCGACCCCGAACTGGAAGGTCGGGTACTAGTTTCCGCGTGGATTACTTGTGGGCCTTCCCTGTGCGTCCCACTGTGCCAATCCTTGTGCAGGAGGGGATTTTCAGGAGATGAGAGGCCTAAATTCACAGTTTTCGTTTCTCTGAGAGGGTCAAACTGAATGTGCAACGCACGTGGGACCCGGCTACGCTCTTCTGCGAGGTACACGTGGGCTCCTGTGCGTTTCTCGCTCAGGTCCAGTTCCTCCGCGCAGCCAAGGGCCGGGTAGGCTGGAGAAGGGGGCATTTTTTTTCCAAGGCGCCAGGAGCTCCTGGGCCTTGCCCTCTCCCCGGACCGTTACCCCCTCCTGGCTCCTGTTCTGGGTGCCCAGTGCTCCTAGCCACCTCTGCCCCTGTCCCTGGCAGCCCAGCCGAGCCGGAGCGGGCGCGTTGGCCGGGGCCCCGAACCTGCCGGGCAGCTTTTGTGCGAGGGGCGGATTGTGGCCGGAGAAGGGCCGCCCCGAGCGGGCCGGCCAGAAAGGGGGCTTCGGCCTGCGCGCGGCTCTGGAAACCTCGGCTCCTCCCTATCCCCGCCTCGAATCGCAGGAAACAAAGTCCCGGACGCGCAGGCCGGCTGGGGAAGGTCTCTGGCGGCTTGGAGGCCTGGCCCGAGGCCCCGCTCCGCGGTGGGAGGTGGGGTAGGGGGTAGTCTAGGCTGGGCCGCGGGAATGTGGGCAGTGCGGGGCACTGTAGGGGGTGTGCCTGTGAGTTAAGGTGGGGGACTGTGGCTGTGTGTTTGACGGTGTGCGTTAGGTCTGTGAGGCAGTTGTGTTTGTGTGGATTGTGGCGATGCAGTTGTGTGTCTGAGTCGGGAGTTAAGACAGGATGTGTAGGTGCTAGGCGTTTGAGTGTGTTAGAGGCTGCAGAGGCCTGTGCCGCTTAGACTTCGTGAAACAGTCATGAATTGGGGGTGCGCATAAAGGTGTGGCAATGCAGTTGCGTATAGATTTTGTGTGCCAAGATGTGGTGGCACAGTGTGTGTCTGGCTGTAGTTGTGGATCTCAGGATGGGGATGGTCGCAATGTGTGTGTGTGTGTGTGTGTCTGTGTGTCTGTTTCTCCTTGTCTGGGTGACTGTCCCTGTGTCATGGACGTCCATGCCTGGCACCATGGAGCGCCGGTGTGTCTCAGCATCTAGGCGTGTGTGCCTAGTGAGGAGGCTTGCGTTAGGGTGTTGCTGCCGCAGCCGCCCTGCGGTGCAGTCACAAGCGAGTCCACGCACTCTCCCCCGTCTCCCCTAGCTCCGGAGTTTGTTGACAAACAGCCGCTTTTGTAACAGCCTTTTTCTGGGCCAGCCTTTATTCTTCCAGCTATCAGCGCTTAAGTTACTTCGGTACCGCCTGCGAGCAGCCCTTCTGGGCTGGGCCGCCGCCCCGGCGTGGAGTTACGGGGCCGCGCGCGCGCGCGCGCCTCGCCCGCAGTCCTCGCCCGGGCCTGCGACTCCGCCGCCTAGTGTACCTCCCCAAACAGCCCGGGGGAGTGGGGGAAGTGGGAGTTTTGAGAAGCCGCTGACCCCAGCCGTGACCCCGCTCGGGGAGGCGGCTTCTCCCGGCGCGACCCTGTGCGCCAGGAAAGTAGAGGCGGTGCCACGCTTGAAAGCGAAAGATCCATTCATCAGCCGCATCCTGGCTCTAATTGGCCTTTTGTTCATTAGTGCCTGTTGGCCAGCCGGGGACCCGAGAGGGGCCCGGGGCTGGAAGCCAGGGTGCTGGGCGCAGACGGGACCGACACCCAGGCTGGCGGCTGGGTAGGGCGAAGGCGCGTCGCTCTCCTCAGAGGGAGCGCCAGAGCGCGCCACAGCTCACCGCCACGTGCGCAGATGCCCGCGGGCAGCGGGTCTCCGAGCTTCCAGGCCTGCTGCTCTGAGCTGCCAGAGGCCGGCGGCCCTGTCCTTGCTCCCACCGGCACCCGCAGACCGAGCCCTCGCCTACCCTCAGCCTGTCCCAAGTTCCTAGCCCCGGCGAGGGCTTTTCTTTGGGCGTACGTCCCGCCTTTCTTCGCGCCTCGAGTGCATCGCCCTGGCCCTACCACATGCCCCGGGGTTCCCCTCCTTAGTCACCAACCAGGCGCTCTCGTGGGCGGGTACCCCGATTCGCTAGTGGGGAAACTGAGAGAATTTCTCGTTCCGGAAGGGATGTGGGAGTCAGCCGAGGTCTCCGTAACTCCAAATGGCACGTCCTTCCGCAAATCAACCTTCGCTTTCCTGCTCTGCATCTCTTACCCAGTGCTCAAAGCAAGCCTCTCGGTCCCCCTCCCTACCCCACACCTACTGCCCCTCCTTCACCCTCATCGGGGAGCCCGAGAGAGCGCAGCGGTAAGGACTCCTCTCCAGGCTTAGGCCCAGAGGCCGAGAAGCACCTGAGGGGCCCCAGAGGTGCCTGGGATGGGATAGGGTCGCGTTTGGGAAATGGCCCTGGGGCCTTCAGCCCCACGCTCTCCTCCCTCTCCCGGTGAAGGCCGGCTTGGCTCTGCAGTGGCGCCG